TGTGTGTGTGTGTATGTGTGAGAGAGAGAACGTGTGTATGTATGTGTGAGAGAGAATGTGTGTGTGTATGTGTGAGAGAGAATGTGTGTGTGTGTGAGTGTGTGTGTGTTAATGTGTATGTGCATGTGTGTGTGTGTGAGAGAGAGAGAATATGTCTCTGTGTGTGTGTGTGTGTATGTGTGCGTGTGTTTGTGTATGTGTGTGAGAGAATGTGTGTGTGTTTGTGTGTGAGTGTGTATTGTGTATGTGTGTGTGTGTGTGTGTGTGTGTGTGTGTGTGTGTGTGTGTGTGTTCACTTACCTTTTCTATTATATGAAGCAACGATAAGAGAAGAGTCCATCCAAACCACGAAGGGGTCTGGAACAGGGCGCTCTGGAAACACGGAGCGCCATCACGGTAGCTCATAATGCACCAATAAGAACATGTGCTGACAGTGTCTTCGGCCGCTAGTCCAGATCATTATGACGTAAGGAGAAACACCGACTGCATAGCATAGTCTAAACAGAAGAGCGAAACAAAAAGATATTTGAATTACACTGAAATCACCAAGGTATTCACCTCTGTGCCCTCATAAGAAACGATTCTCAATTATGAATAAAAGAAAACGTTCCAGCCAGCTGAATCAACAATGCAGATCTATTTACGAATTACGGGTTGGGTCCGACTGAGTGACGATGCAAAACTGCTATTTAAAAAAATCGAATCCTCTGAACAAGTTGGGATCAGTCTCTTTTTCTTGTTGTTTTTAAAACCACGGAATAAGTGTTACAGTGCAACCAGATTATAATAATAATACAAAACCAATGTACTTTACAGAAACAAGGCGCACAAAGAGCTTCGATCCGACTGAGCCCATTGGAAACGACGTCGAATTAAAAGCGTATCGCTCTAACTATAAATGAGCACACACCAGAAATGAAACACAATTGAGTCTAGCACGGCGCATGACAAAGGGGGCGAGGATATCGATGTATTGATTCATCGATCAATCAAACGATCGATCGATCGTCGCGGAGCGTTGATCAGAGACGCGTCGCGGTCAGCCTTGGTTGATGCCGACGTCTTGTGGTGGTGAGGCAGACCAGAGTGCGTGCGCAAGTCGTCGGTGGTTTTGGCACGTCTTGTTCTCACTGCGGGGTGGTGGGGCACACAGAAGTGGGGGGGGGAGATACAGGTGGGGCAGGGGTAACACTGAGTGACGGTAACACTCACTCACTTACCAGCTTTTTACGTACGTACGTAGTACTTATTTCCTTCAGTCTTTGTTTCTTTGCTTGCTTTCTTCCTTCCTTCCTTCCTTCCTTCCTTCCTTCCTTCCTTCCTTCCTTCCTTCCTTCCTTCCTTCCTTCCTTCCTTCCTTCCC